TTATGGAATCTGGCCCGCCTATATATTTGCATGATGAACATGGATTCCCTCTTGCCAAAGATTTCTCTCCCGTGTGGCTTAAGTACAAGGACATCAACAATGAAACGATTGTCGAGACATCACGACTAACAAATGCACCAATTGGAGATGAACGACTGGCAGTATGGAATGAGTTAAAACAGTTTGTTCCATTCCAAGAAACGCATGGTACTTGAATGTACCGGTCGATGAATGTTCGATGAATGTTTCGAGTCAATGACATTTCGAGTCAATGATAAATAGTGCCCTCACACAGCAGCCACCTCATGCAGCATTGCTGCAATGATGGAACGTTACTCCAAATTGGCGGATAAAGTGAAGGAGTCTCAAGGTGAAGGGCTGGCCTCAAGGCGAAGGGCTGGCCTCAAGGTGAAGGGCTGGCCTCATGGCGAAGGGCTGGCCTCAAGGTGAAGGGCCTCAGCGTGAAGCCTGGTCTCTTATAGTGGTCTCTTATAGTGGTCTCTTATAGTGGTCTAATATTTAAACGTCTTTCGCCTTGTTTGAACGTTAGCCAAACTCAAAAATCTTCTTCTTAAAACCAGCGCACTTGAGTGTCAAGAACCCTCACTGCACTAGGCACTCGGACTGGAACATTTCGGCTAACTGAGGATCTCGATTAACCGAAGAGTGCGTGTAGCAGTTCTTCTCGCCTCATCACGCCTTGCCCCATCACACTTGGGGTCATGTCACCCGACGAGGTGAGGAGGGTACTGGTGGTGTTTTCCCTGGTTGACGGTGGCAGATGGCTTCGTGACAGCTTGGTAACCGTCGCTTTGAGAGGATGATTGGGGCATCGCTGGAGGAGGTCGTGGAAGTAAGTCGGCCACAATGCAGCTTTATCAGCGCTTGTAGGAACGAACACCTCAACCCCGAGAACATCCTTCCACGCTGCAGCAGGAGTGAAGTAGCTGCACACGGACACAGGCGCATGATCGACACTCGTCTCTGCCACACCCGTCTCTGCAGCACTCGTCGCCGGGCTAGGCATACTACCTACCCCTGCCGCTGGACCTTTAAGCTCTTGACCCCTAGTCTCTTCACCACCAGTCTCTTGCCCACTAGTCCGCAGCGTGCGGGGCGGCTGCTGCTTTCTGGGAATCAGACCCACCGCCTCCGGAGCCACATCGATTCTGGGCACGGCAGCTTCAAAGCGGTCTGACAGTTGGTTTGAGTTCCCGTATGCGATCCCCGATAACGTTGTGGCTCTCTTCCATAACGGCCTAGATTCCGACGGCTCCTTTCTCTTCTGAGGTGTCATCACAGCACTATCACGACTTACAAGAGTAGTGTCAGGTGAAGTCCCAGCATCCATCGCAGGAGTGCTCGGTAAGACATAGCGAGCCGGCAAGGCAAACTGCTCAATCTGGCTCAATTCGAGTTTCAGTTGATTCCTTGCTCTCACAAACTTCGCAGCGGTCGCCGCTCTCTGAAATGCGATTCGCTCTCTATAGTGGCCATCGGATCGCGACTGACGACCTGAGGAATGACCAGAGTGGGAGCCTGCGTGATGACGACCATGTGTGCGACCATGTGTGCTCGAGCCATCCTCTTCGTCCGAGGAGTCCGTAGCTATTTCCCTACGGTAGCCTTTGGCTCTACGTCCTAAGTAGTTGTCGCCGTCATCTGCGTCGCCATCTGGCTCCGCAGAACGCTCGGTTGGGTGCACTGCCGTTGGGCGACCTCCTCTGTGCAGAAATCGATTCAAACCTGTATTTGATTCCAACAGTTGACGAGATAATAGCATCCTATCGTTGGTTCTACGACCGCCGGTGGTAATACGACCGCCGGTGACGTCCGTTTTCACAGACGTTAATAAACTAACTTCATTTGTGTCTAAACTATCCCCTCCAAATACCAGTTCCGTCGAGACAGGGACAATCGAAGACGCCTCACTTAAGTCGTGAATGGTATGGGAGCATAGACGGTCTTCTACAAGCGATATGGCTGGGTCGAAATACGCGCGTTCATAAAGGCCGATGAAACTATTCACCTGACTGACCTGCCAGGCCAGCCACAATGTCTCGCCTCTTGTCATCGC